AAAAAAAAAAAAAAAACCCTAAATAAATACACACATAAAAAAAAAAAAAAAAAGCACAAAACTGTCTGTATCGTCATCATCATATGGGTATGGACAGAAGAATCCATCAAGCCATCAAGTTTGAATCGGGTCACTTCCACGCCAGCAACTTCCGGGTACACTGACCTGCCTTGATCCGGGTCTGAACCTGCTCGAACTCCGAGATCCGACAGGGTATGGTAATCCCACCCGGATGATCAAACCCGTATTCTTTTTCGGACTCCTTCAGCAAATCACCAAATGAAGGGTGATTAAAATACACTACAGGAACCAAAACTCTCTGAAAATCACCATCTTTCTGGCCCACGTAGACTGCTAAATGTCCCTTCGGAATAGTAACGGGATTTTCTTTGACCGTTTCTTGCCCGACCCGGCTGTATCCAGAACCCTGATAAGTACCAAGGTTCTTGGAGCTCATTATGACCTTGGCTATCCTCCTACTAAGGCGGGTCCAGTCGAGGAGTCTTGAAATGGACCTAACCACCTGGAAGCTCCTAGGTCGGTCCAGCAGCCGGTGTTCCTCCGGAGGTCTGTGTCGCCGGGAAACTCGCCGAAAAACACGTCTGAAAAGAGTGTTCACCCTGTGTTTGAGCAAGAAACCTCGAATCTTTCCCATATTTTACTCAAGAGAATAGAAGAATAGAGAAGTGGGTAAGGGTCGAGCAAGCAGGACTCGAAACCTTCTTTGATACTAAGGACAAATGTTCATTATGGGTTTTCAGGTTGAAATTTGGTTGGCGGCGGTGGCTGAGAAAATGAATAGGAGAGTTTGTCACTAAGCAATTAGAATTATATGGGCAAGCATATATAGAAGAGAGGGTACAAAATAAATATCTTTTTATTTAAAAGCCTAAAAAGAATAAAGGAGTAGGCCAAAAATGAAAATAAAACAAGGAAGAATTGTCTACTACTAACTACTAAGTTCTAACCAAAAGAAAAAGTATCGTTTTTCATATGCACCCATCAAATAAATTTACAAAGACTACAAACCAAATAAAAAGAGTTTGCTTTATATGGAGTGTTATCGCTTGTTCATTGTTTTCGATGGAAGGTGGAGCCGATGAGTTTGGGACGAACTGCTACTATTTGGGACCATCAATACATGACTCAAACTCTTTTAATTAGTTTATAAATTAAAAATCCCATTTTATATATTTTTTAATATTAAAAATTGAGTAGTGCCACAAAAAAAGGTCTAAAATTCTAAGTATCTATTAATAATATTATTCAAAAGAATAATTCTGAATTATAAAAAGTCTGTTTGATCCCCATTTTTCTTAAAGAATGCATTTTAAAATAATAGGTTGATGGAGAATGTGTGATTGAAAAATAAGGAAATGTTTTGAGCTTACGTGTAATATTATTTTATTAAAAAATGTTTGATTGAAAAAAAAATGAAAAAATATAATTTGCCCTGGTTTGGCCCCCATTAAAATTATAATACATTTTTTTTTCTATTTTCGTTTTAACCACACATTCTGCAATAAAATATAATTACGAGTAAATAAAAAAAATCCCTATTTTTTTACCACACATTCTTTCAAAAATTACTATTCCAAAATGTCATTATAGTGGAGGGCTTTGAAAATAATGGCGATCAAACAAGTCTAAAATGTTGACTAGTAAGTGAGTACTTATTTCAACTCTCGTTTAAAAAATTGATTTTTATTTTCTCTAATTTTCTTCTCCTACGAAGCATCCTCTTGATCATGGAGAAGTAGAACGCGAAGTGACAAGGAAATTACGCACATTAATATTTTGTTGGTATTCAATTTAACTTTTGACTTTTTAAATTGTTGTTAGAATTTTGTTAAAGTGAAGTGTTATGTTTTGATTGGGTGTTAAGTTTCAATGTTATATTGGCATAACATTCAAAAAGTATTTTCTCCCAAAAATAATTTAAAATCTATTTCATATAATTTGCGACGAATTTCTAATTTCCCCTTCATCTCGTATTACTATTTTAATAAATCTCAATATGGACGTTTTCTAACTTTTTGTAGGAAAAAAAAAAAGAGATGAAAGCATATTTTTAAGAGACGTGAAACAGTCGTACTATAATTTGTTAGTCAATCATTTTCAAGTTGTTACAGTCAATTGTCTTGAAAAAAAATATATATATTTCTTCATTTTTTAAAAATAATATACTAAGGCATGCGTTTAATTTTTTTTTTTTTTTTTCTAGTCTATCTCATGCAAGATCTTAATTAAAAAATGATTAGTATATAAATAAATAAGAAAAAAGTCTCCCAAGCAAATTGTAGAAAGAGGAAATTACACATAGGCCTGGTTTTAGATATTCATTTTCATAATTCCTGATTTAAGTTTGATATTTCAATAATCAGGTTTTAAGAAATTTTTAAAATTTTTTTATATTTATTTACAATAAATTAATTTATATATACCCCCAACCGCCCTAGCCCTAAAATCATTAACCCTTCCTCTCGACTCTCTCCTCCTCCTCTTTAGAACCCGCCGCCCAACTGAACCCTGCCTCCCTCCACTCCACCACCACCGCCATCTCACCGATGGCACAACCGCAAAACCACCTCAAATACCACTACAAAATCGACACAAAACCACTACAAACCACCACAAAATCGCTGTAGGTTCGCCACTGTAGCGGCGCTCAGAACACCGGTGTACAGCGACGAACTAAGCATCGCCGCTAAGATTCGGCACCGCTGCTCAGATCAATGGCGGTGCGACGGTGATGCGGTGGGTGAGTGGTGTGGCTGTGAAGATCTGCGTTCAGATCCGATCTTTTTTTTGTTTTTTTGAATGGTGTGGTTATTGCTCAAATTTGCTGTGGCGGTGGATTGGGTTGTTGGTCTGATTTTGTGTGTGTGTGGGGGGAGGGGGGGCTGTGGTGGGTGGATCTGTCTGTATGTGTCATGGCAGGTGGCGGACGTCGACGGTTTGTGTTCAATTTTCTGTAGCTGGTGAGTTGTGTTGTTGGGTGTGTGTCCGTGAGGTGGCGGTGCGATGGTTGTGTGCGATTGGTGCTGTTGGGCTGCGATCTGTGTGCGGTTGAATGCGGTTTGGGGACTGCGATCTGTGTGCAGTTGGGGCTGCGATCAGAGTATGGTTGGGTGCGGTTGGGTATGTTTAGGTGCGGTTGAGGATGCGATCTGTTGGGTGTTGGTTGCGTGCAGATCTTTTATTTTTATTTTTTGGTTATGGTGGATCGGCGG